ACTATATAACTAATATATATATATATATAAATAGCGATTTGGGTTTTATTTTCTTAGCACACATTGATATGATATTTTCATGTCGGTTTTAACACATATCAAGTTTTCTTTCTTGAATTCTACGATTTTTGTTAAGCTCTAGTCTTTCCGATCTTCAGTATCTTAAACGTGAACAATTTGAATGTAAGTTGTCTGTTCAATTCAAAAATTTTCAATGTAGGTTCAAACTTTTACATACTATAGCTTACAACTCTATTTAAACTTCAATGACTGACACGATGACTATCGCAACGGACATCTATTGTTTGAGTTCATAGGAGATCCACGGGTAGATCTCAGTAAGACTAGCAAAAGTCTAAAGGGATTCGTTCCCATGAGCCTTTGGTAACAACTTTTTGTCAATATATATATATGTTGACTCTTAGAATACTGTGACAGTTTGAAGCGAAAAAAAAAGAAGTTTTTTCATCAAATTATTGAACTTGATTTTGATGGCGTATGTTTGATCAACTGCTATTATGAACAACCTATATTTTAATGAAGAAATATTCTTTTCGACGGAAAATTTTTAAAATATTTTAAGAATCATTAGATCTAGCTATGAAGAAAATTTCAACTCGAAATTCCGTTACATGATTTCCTGGTAAATGCCTAAAAACTAGATCGAATATTCCGTAAAACGATCCTAACTAGACTTCGAAAGTCCATATGAACAAACCATTTTAGGCTTTTAGTAGTCTCATTCTAATAAATAATTCCAATTGGGGTAGAAAATCTTCTCTGCAATCGTTTATCGTTGAAACTGAAGGTCTTTAGTGTTATCGCCAGTTATTATCAGTAAGGCGGTATACTGGTGATAGTGCGAACAAACGTGCGACATAAGGAGAAAAGGTATTTTGTTTCAGTCAAGTTCTATACGGCCTTAGTCAATCGAAAGACCTTATTGTGATATCAACATAAGATATAATTAGCGGATGTTTCAAGCAAATACATGAATGAACATTATTCCTTTTCCTATCTTCGAAAATTTTTATTACTTTCTTAACAAAGTTGTAGAAGTTATTTGTGGTAAGTTATTGTTACAAAAATTTTCTTTTTCTTTCGTCTTTCGGCTTTGTTTCATTGAATAAACTCATTAGATTACTTTAACTTAGTACTGTTGTCAGTGAAAGAAAATTACAAAAAAAAAGAATCTCAATGGAATATTCATATTAACACAAATTAAATTCTAATAAATATGGTATCTTCATTATCAAAAGTAATAGGTGCAAGAAATGTGTGGATATATATTTTTAGTGGAAAATTGCTTTCTTGTTTAACTATGAAGAAATTTTATTTGATTCGAATAGAATCAAATAAACTTGTAATGATAGCTTATATCAAAAAAGAAATGATTACAAAATATTGGATTGTAATATAATATTTGTAATCATTTCGTTTTTACTATAAATTAAAATATAAAAATTTGAGAAGAGAATAACTGTTCGGATAGAAGTTAGAAGCTAAACTAATGATTTAAACCAAATTTTAAAACTTAGTCGAACTATTGTATTTACAGGATAGCTTGTCTAAGAAGTTTTTTTGAAATTAGGAAAATCAATTATTAGAAACCTTGTAAAACTTATTCAACGTATAAAAAATATACATTCATACGTCAGATAAATTCTACATTTTTTTCGCCAACGCACACAACTTAAGTGCTCGTGCATAGTTCCTTTGAGCGTCCAATTCATTGTTGTCGTCTTCTCTTTGTCGATCTCCTATTTCTTCGGACATATGTATCAGACCAACCACTAATTTTATCAAAAGACGAGTATCATCATCAAATACTCCATCGATTTTTCGATAACATCTTGACAATCGTTGTATTGACGTTAAATCAATTCTTCTACAACGAACAAGAATCGACTGAATACCAACATAAGTATGACTTCGAGCAATAAGTTCTTGAATTTGAATGACTGGTTGAAGAATGAGAGTAGCAATTGTTAACGATGAATTTAAATCCAACCATTGCCATAAGTGTTCTTCTACCGCAAATAGTATCAAAGTTATATCCTCAACTGTTAAATGTGCAATCAATGCAATTCTTAAAGATGAATATTGCGGACCATAGAAAATAACAATAGGAGCATTAGAATGGACTAAAAATAAGCAAGATCTATTTACTTGTTACAATCAACGATTGAAAAAAGGTTTCAGACAAGATGTTTATGTACTTTTCACTCGCTAGAAAGTACTTCTAACGAGTCAAAACCTATCAATTACGATACTATTTTTTAAACATGAACTTAAAAATCTTGTCTCGATTTTGATTCGAGAGTAGCCAAATGACTTTTAAAACAACCAAAAAAAAAAATTAGTTTAAATGAAAAAGTTTAGTATTTTACACTATCATGATCCTTACTTATGTTGTGCAAACAAACATTGGATAAGTCATCATTAAAAATAATTTTCCAGGTCTTCAAAAAGTCACTCATTATTTTTGAACAAAAAAAAAAAGGCATAACATTTCTAAGTTCATATTCAAATCTTACGAGGGAACCGTTCGAAGTGATTCAAAGCTTTTAAGCCGATATTTTGCCCATAAGTAGAGTCCAATGAGATTAGAAAAAGCCCAAAAGGACAAGGGCCCATGGGCCTTTCTTCTCNGGGATTTAGAAAAACTCAAAGTTGTTACAGAAGATTTTGGAAATACTATAGATAAAAAGATAGAAAAAGTTAGTGGAAGTGGAGATAAGGATGCTAATGATAAGTGGACTAGGTTAAAGACCGTGATAGTTGATTCAGCAAGACAAGTAATAGGATTTAAAGAAAATGTAAAAGCTAGGAAGCCTTGGGTTAGTGAAAAAATGATTGAAAAGATGGATGAACGAAGAAAATGGAAAAATGTCAACAGCGAGTTGGGTAAAATAAAATATAGAAGGTTAAACAATGAGTTAAGGAGAGAGACAGAAAAGGCGAGACAAGAATGGTTAGAAAGCAAGTGTAAAACAATAGAAGACTTAGAAAACCATGGTAGGTATGATTTGATGTATGGACCAGTAAAGGAACTAGTCTGGTTGAAACGGAAAGGTGGCAGCGTGAGATGCGCTGTATCAAGAGATGGAAAGAGATTGATAGAAGATAATGACATGATTAATAGGTGGGAAGAATATGTAAGAGAATTGTATGCAAATGAAGGATATTTAAAGGAAGGTACAATAGAGGATGAAAGCAATGTGGAAAGTGGGCGAATAGGATTTTCAATATTAAAGAGTGAAATAGAAATGTCTCTTAAAGAAATGAGAAGCAAGAAAGCAGGAGGAGTAGACGGTATACCCATCGAGTTCCTCAAAAGTATGAAAGATGAAGGCAAG